AGGAGTTATTCTGAGAGGAAAAATAGCCGAAGTTACTCCTTATATAGACAGCAACCCTTTAGTTAAATACTATCAAAATCAGTTCAACCGTTTAGGAGATAACCAGAACAAATAGACAGACAGCCAAAACATTTTTAAACTTGTTTTTAGGCATAGGTATCGTGCAAATAACCGTGTGAGCATGAAAAAAAAACAATTATTTGGACATTACAAACAGACACTTTAATTTTATTTATTTGTATGGATAAATTACACATAGACATAGAACAAATGATCATGCTCATCACACAATTCTCTAGGTTAGCAGTCATCATCACCAACCACTACACAAACAAGCCCATCAAAATTAATTAATAATAAGCATTACAAATAGATATGTATTCATTCTCAAATAAATAATTACTTTTTTGGCAAAATTGGTACTTCATCATCCGTTCGAAATACCGTCAGATTATCCAGAAATGAATTTATCTATTAATCCCCAACATTATACACAAAGCGGCTTCCGACACCCCTAACAAAGGGTTATAAATATATGTATTTAAATTCAGTCGTTTATTTGAGCGCTCATCCCCGTGTACAAAGCGCTTCATTATTCAATTCGCGAATGAATCACTTTCAGTGAACGAACGAAATGAATGAACGATAACAATGTTTATCGATATAAAAACGAGATGATCGGAAAGTCTTTCACGTTAACATATCTCGACCCCTTTTCATAATTAAATATTTTCCAGGAGTAAACGAGGACCTTTGGCAGAACTTATTTCCGTTCAGAACGAGGAAAATTGTTCTACAATTGTAATTCCTTTAAAATATTCCAGAAAAGACTATTAAACGGTTGTGTATTTCCACCGGCTTTTCTTTCTATTCTCTGAGAAATCGATTCTCTGAGAATTTGGTTTCATAATACCAGGTAAATAGTATTCTTCTATTAGATTATTATTAGATTTTGAATGAATCTTTTTAATAGTATGAAGTTTCTATTTAGGTATTAACCAGCAAAATTAACGTTGGTACCACTATGTATGTGTATGTACGTTTATATGTGTATGTGTGTGGTATTTAGATGTATACACTGAATTCTAAGATAGTTGGTATTTAAGAAAACCTCTATCATTTATCCCATTAAATGCACATACCTCATTCTTTCTCATCATCGCCCAATCGGCCGACTGGCCGAGAATGCCTTAGACATTAAGTCCGCCGATGCATGTACTTGTGCAAAAAGTTATAAAATAAATAAATATACAAAATTTTACAGAATTTTTCACGCGCGTGTCCAAAACGAGAACACGCTGGGTCTCGTTTTGGACACGCGTGAAAATTCATGATATTTAAAAGAGAAATTTTATTTGAATTTTCAAATTGCATTTTCTAATTGACGGATAAACTGAGACTGAGTAGGCCGATTTGAATAAAACTATGGGTATTTTACAAGTTTTGCAAGTCTCCATAAAAAATATAAAGTAAAATTAACTACCAATTCAAAATAATTTTGCACGTACATTGGGCAAATATGTGTAGCCTATGTCCAGCTATGGACTATTAAAGGCTGTTGATATGATGTGATAATGATTGGGAATTATTTTTTCTGAAAAATAAAAACATTCCCAAAATCCAGTTTATGGGCTAATCTACTATTTTTCGGCTTCAAAAACGTTTCTATAACATCCTGTATCATTTACTCTCATTGAACTGAAAACTTAACAACATACATGAACCCTTCGAATTTGTATACCCTATTTATTTAAACCATCGCCACGTTAATTCCCAATAGTTCTACCATGTTAAGTAAGTCATTTCGTTGATGTTTCATAGGGGCAAAGAGACGACACACTCACCCGTTTTCATTAAATTGAAGGACAATCTAACGCTATAGGGACTACGGTGACCCAATTACTTAAATTGACGTTTACTCTTATTTACACAATACACATGTATCTACTTGCTGCTTTAGAAATTGTGATTGATTTTTACACAATGTCTTTAGTGTACGAAGTGTCGGAAAAAAAAACTATTGTTACACATTTTTCGGTCTTGCTTCCATCTGTTCAGATAGTGTAACTTCGTTCCAAAACAGAACAAAGTTTAAAAAACCTTTTATTTGATATTTTTTTAATTTTGTAAAAAAGCTTCATAGGTATACAATACCGCGAAAGTATTAGATGGAATTGGAACCAGAGGTTTAATAAAAGCAAAAAAAATATAATAAGGATTCAACAAGCGTAGTTGGTTCACCTGTTAAGAAATATTTGAAGTTAAAATAAATGTATTAATATAAATGTCTATAATGTATTAATATATGTACTTCATTTTCTTCGCAATAAGACACAATTGTTTCGAAAAGAGGTTGTCAGCCCTGCCGTGCCGCACGTCACACTACACAATAGATATCTCGGTGAATGCATTCTAATGAAATAAAGAAACGTTTTGTCCCCCACTGCATTGACTCCGAGACCTAAATAGAACTGAATAGAACCGGCTTCTCTTTTCAGCAACTATCTATATGGGTGGAAATTTTCCCAGTATGTGCTGGATACAGTTTTGTGTGTGTTAATGGAAGTTTCGCCCAAAAGAAAACGCAATGTAACATATGATTTTAAGTATTAATGTGCATATATGTAAAGATAACTCATGAACTCATTTTTTAGTTAATGGTACGGATTACTGAGGATTGTGAAAATTGATGCAGTTTAGGTAGAAAGTAAAGAAGTTTAAGATTTAGGTACAATATGTTTTTCGTGGTTACTTAAGCATCCAAGCTCGTAGATAACTAGTTAACTAGAAATCCTGTAGGAAATACATAAGTTTAGTAGTGTATTCCGTTTTCTTCCAATATAATTGCTAAATATACAACTTTCTAATGAAAATTTACTTTCTGAGACAAGCCCGGCCGTCTGATCTAAAACTACTGGGAACCGTGGTAACTATAGTGCTAATAAACCTACTTTTATTTTATTATATACATAAATTTTGTGTATAAATTACATCAAAACAACAAACACGTAATTATGTTCATCATTCAATTATTATTTGTCCTGGTTTGCAATGAAATTTGTGGCTCAGCCCTCAGAATCACTAATCTTTTTATATTAAGTCCTGTATTGCCCTGCCCTCTCATAACCTAGTTTTCCTTTTAATTACATTTCCCTCATCTTGTTAAGCTACTATCGCTCCCAGTTTTAAGATCATAAAGTTCTTTTAACTTGATACTAATTCAGAAAAGGTATAATATACTTTTTGCGTCTCTAAGAAGAACAAGACAAAATAAACACCGTAAGCAAACGAAGTCGCGAAGTAATAAGCAATGTTATTTTATTCAGAAACCAATATAAACTTTACTTTTAAACTTTGAGAACTTCGTTGGAAGTTTGAAAAATGAAATTTCAATTTAGTTTCACTGTGTTTTGTTAAAGTTTTTTTTATTACCGATCTAGCAGAATATATTTTTCTACTTAAAGTTTAAGTTGTTCTAAAAAGACAAAGTATTAAGTCAATAAATTAAAAATAAAATTGTAAAAAGTGTCTATATGGAGGGATCAAGAATGGAATTGCAATTTTGTTGTAATTTAAAAAGTCGCACGCACTAGGAATATATCGTGAGTTTACAAACAGTCATGAAACGGACACAAAGAACCCAGACTCAGAAGAATAATTTGTGCATCACACAAAGTGTTTTCTGTGTGGGATCGAACCCAAAACACTCAGCGCAGTAGGAAGCGGCGTGGCGACTACTTCAACCACTACACTATCTGTGGAAATATATCTAAAATCCTACTAACGGCAGAATTACATAACAATAATTTGTTTTGATAAAATCACATATTGCTCACAAATGATGATGACCACGTACCTATCATAGGTACATAAAAAAAAACGTTAAATCCAGGATTTAATTTATTGGTCCTTCAGCAATTGGCAAAAAAGAAAGTACATATAGGTAAGCAAAAATGCCTGTACAAAAGTACTGTGTCAGAACTTGTTAAATGGTAAACAAATTTATACATGTTTTGTACACTTTAAAAAAAATATTAGGAAGTACCCGGAACGGTAGTTCAAACTGCTTCAATATTATGTTTTCTACATAAATACGCCCATTCATACTTTAACTTCAATGCATTACTTTATGGTTTAGAACTTATGTGTAACAGTCTCAGTATTAGTTGAGCAGATGAGTTCTGAATTTTTTAACAACTCGTAGGTACTATACATCCAGTGTGGTGAAAGATTAAAAATACGGAGTGTTACCACCCCTATTCATCCCGTGGGGTTTGTTAGAGCCTACTAAGGGAGCAAACTACGTAGGACAACAGCACTGCAGAGAGACCTGTTTTTCCAGCGTGGTATAGCAGGCCAAAATCTCCTTTCTAAAGAGAGGCCCATATTCAGCAATGGACTTTTAAAGGCTATTGGTGTGATGTGACGTCTACTTTTAATTAAAAGATAAAGGAAAGAAAGAATACATTTATTTGGTACTCAAAAAGTGGTAATTACGTGAATTATTCAATATTATGCAATATTGAAAGTAAGAAGTGTTAAATCATTGCAAAGCAATAGCGTTTAGTAGCTGCTTAATTTTTATTTGTAGTCTGGTGTTCTATTGTAATATTTACCTAAAAAACGACTTAGATTTTCCTAACAAGTTATTGTCATTAATAGCATATAACCTACACTGATGTAATGTGGAGTAATACCTGAAGTATATTTTATTTTTTGTCCCAAGCAGAAACGAAACGTAGACCATGACGGAATTTACCAATACGCAAAACGTCAATGAATGTTTTTCTATTTTGCATTGTGCAATTTTGATTAATTTGTTAACTATTATTTAATATTTTGACTTTCATTCGTTACATTGTCGTTAATTCATGGTGTACATACTATATTGAAGTGTTAATACGGTTAAATAGAAGTCTGATGCTGTAGGTGCGTCACAAAGGAATCGAAACTAGTTAATTTGATAGAAATTCATTTATTTTTAAGTTATCGTGTCTGAAATGGATTACGTTACGACATTAAAGATTTTAGTAATCGGTGAAAGTGGTGTGGGGAAATCCAGGTAAGAATGAATTAAGCAAATATTAAGTAGGTACACAAGAGTTTATTCGCGTACTTCGTACTTAGATAAAATTTAGTTAGTTCGATAGAAAGGTTGACTCATCCTCGTGAATTACAGACAAATGTAAATTCACTACGTATTGCGTAAAACCTTGTAATTAAAATTCAAAATAAGTTTGTGTCCATTCATTCTTTGACTTGACATGAAGGACAAGTTATTATGTATGTTTAAATATAGATATTCACTTAATAACTTGCTACATAATATAAAATTTTGTAGTTTTTAAATTTTTCCCTAGACAGGTCTAACAGTATAAATTTACATTTGCTTTTAAAGCACCAACACCTCAATTCGCAAACTCATCACCTTAATAATTCATGTAAAAAAAATACGTAAAAGGCTGTAATCATCAAATCATAATGATAATAATATTAACTACTATGGCTTTCTACAAATTTATGATAATTAATCTATTTCATATAATTTCATTAATTATGAGTTATGCTAAAAATGCACTAGAAATTTTTTAATATATAATATTGCTAGAAACTAGGTTTTGGCCTACTATTCCATGCTGGTGAAGTGGGTTGGTGTTAGGTTTGTTTCATGTTTTCCTTCTCTTTGCAATGCTGCTGCAAACAAAATACAAAATTAACTAATCTACAATTGTTAGGGAATCCATGTTTTACTTGACAATTAGATAACTTAGAAAATGTATAAAAAGAAAAAATAATGTGAAACCATTGAAATTAAAGTTTTAATACAATAACATTTTTATTTTAGCATTATCCTAGCGTTTACAACCGGTGACTACAATGCTTCATTCCCTGCTACAATTGGAGTTGACTACAAATGCAAAGTTATGGATGTTAACGGCATGAAGGTTAAGCTTGGAATTTGGGATACAGCGGGGCAGGAGAGATATAGAACATTGACTTCTAGTTTTTACAGGTATGCCTTGTAACGAGACAACTGGTTGTGGGCTTCGGTTTCCGCATTTAGACTAAAGAGTGATCCTTTATGCGTCGAGGGCTGGTTAGCTGTGTACTGAGACTATAATATACACATATTGTTACAGCAAAAGTCTATTTAACTAGTACTCTGTACTCTCAACTTTAACTCTTAAGCCGTAATACTAATTTCTGTCAATAATAGTAAGCTTTGTGGATTCAATCCCCACATGGACTTTTTGTGATCTACAAATTGTTGTTCTGAGTCTTTTTGTGTCCGTTTCATGAATGTTTGTAAAGACCTCGTGACACAGGACATATTTCTGGTGCGAGTGCGAGAAACCCACAACCTCTGGTTTCTGTTTTTTAAAACATAAAAAACAGAAACCAGAGGTTGTGGGTTTGACTCTCAGGACAAGGAAATATGTGATGAGCATGATCATTATTTTATTCTGTCTGGGTGAAATCTAATATATAGAAATATAATATATATATATATATATAATAAAATACTTGTGTCACTGTGTTAGAAGTTGAAATCCTCAGAAACTCTCCACTGATTTTCGTAACATTTGTGTGCATATCGGGTTGACCTGAGAATCGGTCAACATCTATTTTTCATAACCCTATTTTTTTTTACAAAAAAATTAGAAATAATGTATATGGCAAAACAAAGTTTGCCGGATCAGCTAGTTAATCTATAATACTTATGTATGTATTTATCAGCAAGACTGCTGATAAACACACTTATATATTTCTATGGTACCTGACCAGACGTTACCATAGTACAGACTTTGCCTAGTTTTAGCTCAGACGGCCATGTGTGAGATGTGTTAGGTTATTATTAATTACATTAATATAAACATATATTGTCGGACTCCTGCTAGGACATAGCAAGTATGCCACTCCGAAAAGGTCATATATAGATACATAACCTTTTTAATATGAAAAAAAAACACTTTTTAAATGCATAATAAATTATATTAGAAGGTGTTTTTCTGTGGTTTATGTTGTTGACTTTTTATTACGAAATAGGCTTAGTTAATTCAATAGAAAGGTTGACTCACCCTCATATGAAATTTTATGCAAATATAAATTGACTATATAATAATGAAAACCTTTTTTTTAACATATTAATATAACTTTGATGCAAATGGAAATCAATGTTCTGATTCCTAAAACTTAATTTAATAATATAAATTTAGGAATAGAGAGGTAGAGGTATTGGATTATAACAATATGAAATCTAAACTCGGTTCCAAAAATAACGGGTGAGTCACATAAACCCGAATATCTCCCGAACTACGTATGCCATCCTAATGAAACGAAGACTGTTCAATTGAGAATTTAATTATACAGATAAAAAATAAAATAAAACTTAAATCTAAACTCTCTAACTCTTATCTCTAAATAAAAAAAAAACTAAAGTAGTCATATTTTTCTTAAGATTACATTTTTTTATGATTGTTTTTTTGCTGTTTTTCATCACTTTCTTCATTTAATACTTTGTATTGCCTCCACGAGCTCTTCTGACAGCTTCCAGGCGATTAGGCATGCTGTACACCAAATTTCGGAGCCGGTGCTGAGGAATACCTTCCCATTCCTCCACCAGTGCTTGTTTGAGCTCGGGAAGCGTGATTGGTGGGGGGTTTCGACCTTTCACGCATCTCTGAAGCTCGTCCCAGGTGTGCTCGATGGGGTTTAAGTCCGGGCTTCGCGCTGGCCACTGCATGAGTTCGATACCGACCTCTTCAAGGTAGTCATGTACAATTCTGGCGGTATGGGGACGCGCATTATCATGCATTAATATGCCATGCCGGTCCATCCTGGCCATGAAAGGACCTACATGTTCATTGAGGATCTCTTCCACGTACCTCTCTGCATTTAGAGTTCCATTTTGAGTGAGTACCAGCTCGGTGCGGGCCTCAGTAGAAATCCCAGCCCAAACTTGTACGGAGCCTCCACTTCCTCCACACACGCTTGATGGAAGCGCTCCCCTGGTTTTCTGTACACCAACTGCCTACCATCATGCTTATATAGCATGAATTTAGACTCGTCCGTGAACATTACCCTAGACCAATCGTCTAGTTTCCAGTTTAGGTGCTCGCGCACGTATCTCTGTCTTGCAATTCGATGTCCCCGTTCCAGTTTGGGGCCATTTGCGGGCCTCAATGGTTTTAAATTTGCTTCAGCAAGACGTCTTCTTACTGTTTGAGCGCTTAAATTGCCACCTCCAAAGCGAATAAAGTGAGTTTTTAGACCAACAGCAGTTTGAAAACGATTTCGGAGCATTGTAGCCACCAGTTGTCTGTCTTCCCTGGCCGTTGTGCATCTTGGTCTGCCATTTCCTGGTCTTCTAAGGTGTGATCCGGTCTCTTGGTACCGCTGGACTACCCGCTGAACAGTCGACAAAGATACACCAATGTTTCTGGCTGTTTCACGCTGGCTCCGCCCAAGTTCCAAAAAAGTTAGGATTCTGGTACATTCCTCTAGCGTGACTGCCATGCTTCACCTCACAGAATAATAATTATGCACGTGGAAGACGTTCACGATAAATTTTTTTGTGACAGAATAGAAATGGAAAGCATCTATAATGAAATGAAACAAAATTTTGTTTTTAAAAATAGTCATTTTTTTAAATTTTGTTTTTCTAATGAAGTTTTTTTCATCAACCAGTTTAAATAATATGCTATTAGAAGCGCAACTAAAAAGTCTTTATTCTGTTTTTTATTTCATTGATCTAACTATTACAGTTCTGGAGGTATTTCAATTTTTGTGACTGACCCGTAATTTTTGGAACCGAGTGTATTTCAATTGCTACCTAATATTTACATACCAACCTTTTAAGGTAATTTTTAGGTTAAAACATAAAGTTACGGGACAGTACCTTTTTTTTTTTTTTTTACGTGTGGAAATCCCCTCTGACCGTCACCCCGCCGGGGTTTGCGGCGGGGTGGTACGGGACAGTACCTACCTGAACCTCTGGTAGAGTATACCAAAATGATGATATGTCCTAGAATCTGATTGCAATCAATCAAATAAAATAAAAATTGATTGTTTTAAATTTCCTTTGGTATAAATTTTGTTCTGTATTGGGAAGTGGATCTGATTGTTGTAGATGCATGATTTTCACCAGCCCCTCTACTCTATTTTATCTATTTCTGATGACTACATTCTATTTATGGCAAACAATTTCATCAGTATCTCATTGAGTACACGTGTCTGTTATTGCTGAGAGCGAGAAAAAATGATAAAATTGGATTTTAACACAACATTTTATCACAGGGATGCTCACGGTGCTATATTAGTGTATGATGTGTCTGAGCCGAGAACGTTGACGAAACTAAACGAGTGGGCTGAGGAGCTCCAAGTGTATTCCACTAAGAAGAACATTGTATGTTTAGTTGTTGGCAATAAGATTGATAAAGTAAGTTGATTGTTGTATAAAATTCGAATTTTTTGACTACACGGATGTCATAATGGTTTAAGCGGTCGCCACGCCGCTTCCTACTGCGCCGCGTGTTGTGGGTTCAAACCCCACATGGGACGACACTTTGTGTGATCCACAAATTGTTGTTACTCTAGAAAAACTATTCTTTGCCACATTGGACCAGCTCAACCGGAGTGGTACCATCATCTCAAAGAAAACCAATTCAACCTTAAAGCAATTATTTTATTATATTAACGGGCGAGTTAGGTTACCAACTCCCTTGCCTCCAATTTGACTGCACGAATGGCACAGTGGTTTAAGCGGTCGCCACGCCGCTTCCTACTGCGCCGCGTGTTGCAAGCAGTGCGGCATTTCTAGGCGCAATTATTATTATTATTCTTAATTACAATAATAAATTGACATATAAGTTGTTACATATATGATTGAAAATCCCCTGATTGCAGGAGACAGTGACATTGTGTCATTCTTAATTATTCTAATTTCCAAAACTGTTTTATTATCACACAATAATGAACACTATATCCATGTACTAAAGTCGAAAGTGATTTTTTGTTTATTTCTTTGATACGTCTGTACGTCTTCGCCTTAACTAGTAGACCAAATGCAAGATCTATTTGATTTATAACAGTTTGTTAATTCATGATTTTAATTACAAAGTTGGCGTTGTATTCAATCAATTTTATGTTTAGCAAAACCGCGTAGTACCAAGAGAACATGGCAAGGCATTTGCCCAGAAACACAGGATGTTATTCATCGAGAGCAGCGCCAAGACGCAGGAAGGCATCAATTTAGCTTTTGAAGAACTCGTTCAAAAGGTACGATGTATTTTTTAACTTAATTTTGTTCCCGAGAGTAAAATGTTAATTCATGCAAATGAATAGTGTCTAAGTTTTGAATTTCAGTCAAATAGCAAATATTATTTAAGTAGGTAAAAGTATGTTTTTGTACTTCAAAAACGATTTCGAGAAATCTAATTTAATGTTTATGATCTTTAAATGAGCTTTATTTTGCCATACTTATCTTGTTCTTTGAAGATGAAATAGATATTATTAAGTTTGATTTTGGTTTCTATTTAGACTTGGGATTTTTTTAAATGTATATAAGGAGCTCAATTAAATATTTTATTTTATTTATGGATCTTCAACAAGAATATCACATAGCATTCACAAAGGACTTGACTGCACGGATGGCGTAGTGGTTTAAGTGGTCGCCACGCCGGTTCTTACTACGCTGAGTGTTGTGGGTTCGATCCCAACATGGGACGACACTGTATGATCCACAAATTGTCGTTCTGGCTCTCAAAAGTCTGGCTGTTATTTGTGTCCGTTTCATGTATGTTTGTAAAGTCCCCGCGACACAGGATATATTCCTAGTGCGGTAGTTGTCTTTAAAAAAAAAATGGGGTTGTGTATCCTTAATTACAGAAGATCACAGCCTGCATTAAAAGTCAAACATAACATTGGGAATCAACAATTATTATTACACAAATTAGAAGTAAATAAATCACAAAATTACTGTTAAATTCATTAGGTCAATTTGAAGAATAAAATTCCAAAAGTTAAACATTGATAATATAGTATAGTTAATAATCAACAATATAAGATTATATACAGCTACATTGATAATATATAATTTAAATCAAATAAATTTATATTAAATTGATGTCAATGTAAATATGTTTTTAATATTATCTAGATAAAACGATAATCTAACAACGAACACACTAATAAACATATAATGCGTACAGGTTTCCTAGGTATTACAGTAGTTTTAACCTTTGCTAGAGCAATGAATTTACAACTTAAACTTACGAGAAAATTGAGTTCAAAATAAAAATCAATAAGTCTTTCTCTTGCTTTAAATTATTTTATTTTAAATCATTTTTACAGGGGCGTGAGGAAAGCTTAGGTTTTCGTTACTTAGTCAATATCCTTAAGGCAAGCACTATATTAATAAAGACAAATGTCAGCCATTTTTTTTAACTTTCTGTTTGCACAAAATCGTTATTACTACGTGCAATTTAGAATGGGAGGCTTTGAAATACTCACGGAGAGAGATAGTGGGTAAAAAATATATTAAATTTTTCACATAGTTACGTTCGTTTCCTCAGGTATCTCCGTATGTACTTCACAATACAAGTACATATATTAAATAATATCTTGTTCCATAGATAATAGAGACGCCTGGGCTTTGGGAAACCGGTGGATCGTCGTCCAACATCCGTATCACAAACGATTCCGAGAGAAGACAACAAGAACAGTCTTCGTGTTATGATTACACATGCACTATTTAGAATAAGCTTCCATTGGCAGTCGTTTGAGTAATTTTGTATCACTGCTACATAGACGCTCAAACGCTTAAACTCATTTTTGCCAAACCAAGCTGTCGTGTGAGCGTTTCAATAAACTTTAATCATCTTGATAAATTTATCTAATGAATAAAAAAAGCTAGTGCTATTATTCTGGGTGTGCTTATGCACTAATCAATGTGCACCTTTGTATTTCATACAATAGTGACTACTTTTGTATCACCGTGATACAATATTGAACAGTGAGGCTGAATGTTTTTGTAGTGATACAATAAATTTGTATTCCGAGTGGAGTAATGGATGTATTTAGCGAAGCTAGATTTCATTTTATGGTGTTTTGATTGATATCAAGAAGATTTAAATTATAGTTGATTTTATATCGCTACAAAAATTGGGGCCAAACATAACGCCTTCTAAAAAAACGTATTATAATGGTTTGAATTTTGTATTTTCCGTATTCTGCGTTTTTAACAAGGCGGTCTATGTTGAAGACTAGTAAAGTACATTGATGCACACAAGTACTAACTAATACTGATTATGATGCAAATTATAAAAAACACACTTTGGGTTAAAACTTAAGAAAATTGATTAAATAGCAAAGAGGAAATAGTCACATTCAATTTTTCTTAACAAATAAAATGCAATGTTTTATCATGAATGTTGTATACTTTTCTGTAGTTGCACAAAGAGCTTTAATAATGTTATAATCAGGTTAGCTCGCATTATTGTTTGTGTAATTTTTTTATACTGGTATTGAATACTGCAGTATGTTTATGAATTCCCAGTTTACTTGTTTGTACGTGCTGCGAGAGTAATTGAATTTTACTCCGGAACAAAAAAATAATGCGGAAGGATGAGACCGTTTTATCAAAATTTGAACCTTATTTACAAGTACGTCAATACGTACTTGTAAATAAGGTTCAAATTTTGTTCTGTCCAATGTCAATTTTGTTTATATTATTCAAAAGTAGTAGTAATATTTTAGAAGCAATTTATAGTGTGAGTGAGTTTTAAAGTAAAACTATGTATATCTTATATGATTTTCTTATAAATCATGAACTTTATTTTAAATGTTAACTATTTTGAAATTTATTAATTTACTGTTTTACACTGTTCTAGATTAAATAGTACTTAACATCACTGCTAATTACAAAGTAAAGTCTAACCAAGATTCTAAGTTATTTTTTTAATTCCAAACAGGCTGTCTGGCAAGGCTTTTAACATCAGTTTTCATATCCTAAAAACTTTATGAAACAGAGTGAAATTACATTATAATTAATTGTGCCTTAAGTGATTGATTCGTGATTTGACAAAGAGTAGTTATAATGGCGCTATTTTCCTTGAAGTTTTTTCCTTTCTTTCGTATTTATGTTTCAAGTGTTCGTCACTTGGCACGTATGACTGCAAAATAAGTCTTAATTTCGATACGATCTTCAAGAATAGAGCGTACTCATTCCTCAAAGGCCGGCAACGTGCTTTTGACTCCTGAGTTGCAAGCGTTCATGGTCAGCGGTAGTCGCTTTCCATCAGGTGACCCGTCTGCTTGTTTGCCCCCTATTCCATTAAAAAATTCTCGGAACAGAATTTATTTTTATTTTTATTTAAGACTGACTACAAATGTTCAAATCCGAATCAAACTAAAATGTAACCTGTAAAACTTTCATCTATACCAAATAAATAAAATTGAAGTGTCTGTTTGTAATGTCAAAATAATAGGTTTTTTTCATGCTTACACGGTTATTTGCACGATACCTATGCCTAAAAACCAGTTTAAATATTTTTGTCTGTCTCTGCCTGTCTGTCTGTTTGTTTATCGGGTAATCTTCAAAACGGCTGGACCGATTTTGATAATATTTTACTACCAAGTAGCTGTCTATATAAGGAGTTACTTAGGCTTTTCTCTCAAAAAACCCTATAAAAGTTTTCCTGGTCCGGGAATCGAACTCACTAAGGCAGCGCTTTTCAAATTACACGCGAACGAAGTCGCGGGCACCAACTAGTGCGCCATAATACTGTTTAAATAATGAGTAGTACATTTTAAATGTTAGTAGGTGACTTCATACCATATGGTTTGTTGTGGGTTATGTCATATATAATTTAATTGGGTAAGTAACATTAGATATATATCATATAGAATAAAGGTGTTTTTTAAAAAAAAAAAATTGTTTGGCTGTTCTAAGACATTGAGTAAACCCGAAAAACGTGTTATATTCATGATGACGTTTTCTTAAATGTGGACTAAAGTGTACCAAATTTATTTTCATCGTCACCTTCGTGATTTGGTTGACAGGTCTGCTGAAGTCTTAAAACAACATTATACAGTTGAATTATAATTACACATCACATAATTATGTGGGTACAAAATTAAATATTTGCAACAGTGTATCTCTTTCACGCAAGTACACAAATTTAATTTTATTGCCATCAATAATTGGTATTCCTTTAACTTTCAACGAGAAAAAAACATTGTCAAGTTTATGAAAATATTTTTGCACGTGATTGTACTAGATATATAAAAAAGAGCTAATTTGTCCTTGTCTATTGGCTTGACATTGACATAAATGACAAATGACATAGCGATAGAGATTTTTTATTCAAAAGATGTTCTTATTGTTTTGTTATGTCCCAATAGGTCTGGCCCTTTCTGTCAAAATAATATTATGATAGAAATAAATAAAGGTGAAAGCTTAGGGACCTTATTTATCGTTCAACGTGATTAATGCCGGATTAAGGCTGCTTCACTGAGTATCACACAACCCAACTAATACTGTATTACTGTAAACCTCTTTGATTGTATATACGTTTAGATGTTGCGTCACGAAGGGTTTATCCCTTTTATAAATAGGTCGATTTTAAATAGAGAAATACCATATTTAATGTTTTTTGCTCTCACTTTCTTGCAATCTGTTGGAAGTGATTTAGTGAAAAGGGACGGAAGTGTGTAACACAGTCATCGTCATCCTTAAATAGTCCACTGTTGGACATAAGGCTCTTAGGTTTTGGCCTACTATAACACGTTGGCCAGACTGGTTGGTATAGGGTTTGGTTTAAGTAATCTTTCTCTGTGCAGTGCCGTTGTTCTGCGTAGTTTGCTCCCTTAGTCGGATTTCAATCAAACTCAGTTCTGACCAATAAACGCGAGCTGTGTTTTCTTAATAAACGCGAGCTGTGTTAACTCAACCGTCAGATGGTAGGTGAGATCTGACATGTTACACATACGAGTTTAGGTTTACAGAGCAGGTAAACGTGTTCTCTTGCCAACAATACAAACTTATTTGTTACATTTTGTTAGTAATTTGATGTATTAATTGCCATTTGATAGAAATGAACGATAGTTCTGTCAAAATGATCCTAATTATCTATGTATAAACATCAATGATACAATCAGTTGGTTGTTTCAAGTCTTTGATCCGGCTATTCCTTTGATATATCTATGTGTGAGTGTGCTGTCTCAGAAACGACGCCAACTTAGGTGATGTGATAAACTGTTTTGCTTTTGTAAATAGAATATATAATTAAATAAACGTTGTATACTATGATTGATTAAATGTTCATAAAATAAAGTTTCGTTTCATTTCATTTGTTTCTCCTCCTTAGTTTGAAGCTAAGTAGATGTAGCCGCGGCCCCAGGGAGACGAGAGTGGTGGCCGATGCCATCAAGAAGAATCTTTTTCTTAAAATTAAGAAAACAATACGTATAGTTACATCCTGAAGTCTCTAGAAAAACTGAGATACGCGTCATACTTTTATATTGCAAAATTGTTCGAAAATCGGCTATTTTTTTTTGGTTCTCGATTATTTTAAAAAGTATTGGTTTTACAGAAAAATGTTTCGAGTAAAAGTTGGTCAGGAGACAATTTTAGATAAGGATTAAAGATTTAAAAAATCAAAAATGGTTTTTATGGTTTATTTTTGGCCCTGAAACCTGAAATTGGTAAAACGAAAATTAAGTGAAAAAGTATATTAAAGACGTTGGCATTTAATGAAAATCGGATATTTCGTAGAAATTGTTATTATAAACTAAGTCCCTCTAGTCCGATTCCGAAATTTCAAAATGGCGGCCTACTGCAAAATTGTTAACTAAAAAATTGAATAAGCAATAACTTGTATGCAGCAGTGGCACACCGTGTGGTTTAAGTCGGTTCGATTCCGACATATACCCCGCCGCAAACACCGATGGAGTGACGGCCCGGGGGGTTTCCACACGTAAAAAAAGTGTTTGTGTGAAGTTTCTATTCTCTTTGCAGTGCTGTTGTCCTATGTAGTTTGCTTCCTTCAAGCTCCGCCTCTTACGACACCCACGGGATAAACAGGGGTGGTGACACTCCGTATTCTTAATCCGTCACCACACGAATAAATTGATTTATGTTTAGAATTCCTTGCACGTCCACAAAGCAAGACGCATTAACAAATAACTTTTATTAAATAAAGAAAAAAGTGATCTATATATTTATTTGTTAGTTTTTGAAATGTACATAAACCTTGTCGTAGTTCACAATGATTCTTTATCAGTGATGTTATTTCGTGGAGCAAATAAAAAGAGGAGGTGTTGTAATTATATTATCCTATGAAACAACGCGTCATAATTTGCGGGGTGAGGGGGTTTTAAGCTCCGCCCACTTCACTTTTTTTCCGACTACCTACCTAATAGCAAAACTACTCGCATCGTTCTATGTCGATGTTGCTATTTAGTTAAGCACCTCACAATAAGTGTAGGATGCAAGGGAGGTACTCAGAATTTTCGTACCATTGAGTTTTTTTAACACGTTAATCGCCATGTCTCATTATGTGTCTGACGCTAAGAAGTTCCACATGAGCTATGTGAGACATATGTCTGACGTACGCGATTTGGTAGAAGACATAAGACTGACACTTCGTCGAGAAAAAAGTTTTAATATAGGGCCATGTCAGTCATATATGTGTGACATAAAAAATAGTGTATTCCGGGAATTTTGGCAGAAAAAAAAAAATTCTGTGCTACATTA